AGAGGAAAGTTTCTTTCATAAATATAATCATTCTCACCTCACACTGATTCCAATAACGGCCCCAACCAGGGCAATAATCACTCCACCAGCTACTGAGCCGACAATAACCAGGATTAACAAGAAATCTATGGAGAAAAGATGGAAGATTGGGATTTCAAGGTAAAAAGAATTTGTATTGCAGCTTCATCAAATAATAACTGTAATAAGATGAGAAATTGTACAGCTCAGCACTATATCTATATAATATATATATTCAAAGCATAAACGGTGCATGCTCAGCGCTCTCACAGTGAAACAATTAATGTAACAAAAATAAGTCAACGCATAATGACCAACGTTGAGAATCTGCCCATCCAACCTGAGAATCTGACCCTTCACCCTGTGAATCTGCCTATTCACTCTGAGAATCTGCCCAATCACCCTGAGATTCTGCCCATTCACATTCACTATGAGAATCTGTCCGTTCACCCTGATAATCTGCCCATTCACTCTGAGAATCTTCCCATTCACCCTGAGAATCTGCCCATTCACCATGAGAATCTGCCCATTCACCATGAGAATCTGCCCATTCACCATGAGAATCTGCCCATTCACCATGAGAATCTGCCCATTCATTGAGAATCTGTCCCTTCAGAGATCTGCCCATTCATCCTGAGAATCTGCCCATTCACCCTGAGAATCTGAGAATCTTCCCTTTCATCCTGAGAATCTTCCCATTCATCCTGAGAATCTTCCCATTCATCCTGAGATTCTGCCCATTCACCCTGGTCTTCCCATGAATCTGTCCATTCATCCTGAGATTCTGCCATTCATCCTGAGATTCTGCCCATTCACCCTCAGAATCTGCCCATTCATCATGAGAATCTGCCAATTAACCCTGAGAATCTACAATTAAACTGAGAATCTGCCCATTCACCCTGAGAATCTGCCCATTCATCCTGAGATACTGCCCATTCAACCTGAGAATCTGCCCATTCATCATGAGAATCTGTCCCTTCATCCTGTGAATCTGCCCATTCATCCCGAGAATCTGCCCATTCACCCTGATTATCTACAATTAAACTGAGAATCTGCCCATTCATCCTGAGATTCTGCCCATTCACCCTGAGAATCTGCCCATTCATCATGGGAATCTGTCCATTCATCCTGAGATTCTGCCCATTCAGCCTGAGAATCTGCCCATTCACCCTGAGAATCTACAATTAAACTGAGAATCTGCCCATTCACCCTGAGAATCTGCCCCTTCACCCTGAGATTCTGCCCATTCACCCAGAGAATCTGCCGATTCACTCTGAGATTCTGCCCATTCACCCTGAGATTCTGCCCATTCACCCTGTGAATCTGCCCATTCACCCTGAGATTCTGCCCATTCACCCAGTGAATCTGCCCATTCACCCTGAGAATCTGCCCATTCACTCTGAGAATCTGCCCATTCACCCTGAGATTCTGCCCATTCACCCAGATAATCTGCCCATTCACTCTGAGATTCTGCCCATTCACCCTGAGAATCTGCCCATTCATCCTGAGAATCTGCCCATTCACCCTGAGATTCTGCCCATTCACCCTGAGAATCTGCCCATTCATCATGAGAATCTGTCCCTTCATCCTGAGAATCTGCCCATTCATCCTGAGAATCTGCCCATTCACCCTGAGAATCTACAATTAAACTGAGAATCTTCCCTTTCATCCTGAGAATCTTCCCATTCATCCTGAGAATCTTCCCATTCATCCTGAGATTCTGCCCATTCACCCTGAGAATCTTCCCATTCATCATGGGAATCTGTCCATTCATCCTGAGATTCTGCCCATTCATCCTGAGATTCTGCCCATTCATCCTGAGAATCTACAATTAAACTGAGAATCTGCCTGTGGACGGACTGATACTTACTGTCCTTGCAGTCATTTCCGGAGTATCCAAAGTCACATCTACAGAAAGGAATAAATAAATTGGATAAACGGATTGAGAGACTGGCAGAACAATGGATATTAACGGTATATTATGAGTGGAACTGACATTCAATACATTGTCTGATTCCCCCACGCATTTTACATTGCTGCCAGAACATTAAATGAAAATTAAATAAACTGTTTTATTCACTGCTATCAGGAGGATTTCCTGCTACTAAAAATAATGCAGGTTACTCTGTAAACTAAGAACTGCTGAAAATTCAAAGGGAATTCCAAAATTTAGACCAAAAGAGACGAATTGGAGTCCTGGCATTTGGAGCGTAACGTACTCTTTGCACGAGCCTCCATCTTTGTTTGTGGTGTATCCTGGGAGACACTGGCATTTTTCCTCAGAGGTTTGAGTGCTCCAAACACATTGCTGATTAGTTTTAGCTGCACAATGATCATTACAGTCTGAAAGATAGGAGAATACACACCCGGTATTATTATTATTGTAGAGCACCAACATATACCGCAGCACAGTACATTTACAGGTTATTCACTACAGGGAGAATTCAAAGTGGAAATATTCTCTTAGTCAGCAATGCTTCCAGTACGGCTGCTTTGGTCTTTAATTCTTTGAATCCTCACGTTAGTAAATAGCCTTGTTTGATGTGTATTTATCAAACACCTTGTACCTTGGACACAAATAACTGATTTTTATTTGGTTTGGGGCTCGCCTGCATTTATAATTAATGACAGAAATTCATATATAATATATTGTTATTTGTAGTTAGAGATTATCACACAATGATGGCTATATGATACAGTAAGTGAGCGCCTGGTGGAATTACAGATACAGTTACTGAGCCATAATTAGACGTTTATATCATATCACAATCGCTCTCATAGAAACACAATGATAAAACACAGTTTTTATGTTCATATGGTTAATATAAGAGTTGTTCTTTTTGGTGCAGGTGAGAGATCTGCTTGGAGTTGCAGGTGGGAGCTCTGGTTAAGGGTGCAGGTGGTAGATCTGGTTAAGGATGCAGGTGGTGATCTGGTTGGGGTTGCAGGTGGGAGATATGGTTGAGGTTGCAGGTGGGGATCTGGTTGGGGTTGCAGGTGAGAGATATGGTTGAGGTTGCAGGTGGGAGCTCTGGTTGGGGTTGCAGGTGGGAGCTCTGGTTAAGGGTGCAGGTGGTAGATCTGGTTAAGGGTGCCGGTGAGAGATCTGGTTGTGGTTGCAGGTGGGAGCTCTGGTTACGGTTGCAGGTAGGAGCTCTGATTGAGGTTGCAGGTGGGAGCTCTGGCTGAGGTGCAGGTGGGATATCTGGTTGGGGTTGCAGGTGGGAGCTCGGGCTGGGGGGCACGTGGGAGCTCTGGTTGGAGGTGCAGGTGGGAGCTCTGATTGAGGTTGCAGGTGGGAGATCTGGTTGGGGTTGCAGGTAGGAGCTCTGATTGGGGGTGCAGGTGGGAGCTCTGAATGCTGATTGGGGGTGCAGATGGGAGCTCTGGTTGAGGTTGCAGGTGGGAGATCTGATTGGGGTTACAGGAGGGAGCTCTGGTTGAGGTTGCAGGTGGGAGCTCTGGCTAGGTGTAGGTAGGAGCTCTGGTTGGGGGGCAGGTGGGAGCTCTGGCAGTGCAGATGTGAGCTCTGGTTAACATGCAGGTGTGAGCTCTGGTTGGAGGAGCAGGTGGGAGCTCTGGCTAAGGTGCAGGTGGAAGCTCTGGTTGGGGGAGCAGGTAAGAAGTCTGGCTGGGTGTGCAGGTGGGAGCTCTGGAGGTGCAGGTGGATGAGTTTTTTTGGATCCAGGTGGGACCTGAGGGTGCAGGTGGGAACCCTAGTTGGGGTGCAGGTGGGAGCTCTGGCTGGAGTGCAGGTGGGAGCTATGGTTAGGGTGCAGATGGGAGCTCTGGCTGAGGTACAGGTGGGATATCTGGTTGGGTTGCAGGTGGTAGCTCTGATTGAGATTGCAGGTGGGAGCTCTGGCTGAGGTGCAGGTGGGATATCTGGTTGGCGTTGCAGGTGGGAGCTCGGCCTGGGGGGCACGTGGGAGCTCTGGTTGAAGGTGCAGGTGGGAGCGCTGATTGAGGTTGCAGGTGGGAGATCTGGTTGGGGTTGCAGGTGGGAGCTCTGATTCGGGGTGCAGGTGGGAGCTCTGAATGCTGATTGGGGGTGCAGATGGGAGCCCTGGTTGAGGTTGCAGGTGGGAGATCTGGCTGGGTTGCAGGTGGGATATCTGATTGGGGTTACAGGAGGGAGCTCTGGTTGAGGTTGCAGGTGGGAGCTCTGGCTGAGGTGCAGTTGGGAGCTCTGATTGGGGTTACAGGAGGAGCTCTGGCTGGGGGACACCTGTGAGCTCTGGCTGAGGTGCAGGTGGGAGATCTGATTGTGGTTGTAGGTGGGAGCTCTGGCTGGGTTGCAGGTGGGAGCTCTTATTGAGGTTGCAGGAGGGAGCTCTGGCTGGGGGGCACATCACGTGGGAGCTCTGGTTGGGGTTGCAGGTAGGAGCTCTGATTGAGGGTGCAGGAGGGAGCTTTGGCTGGGGTGCAGGTGTAACAGGATCAGAAAAGAAGTTGCGTCCTTACTTTTGCAGGCAGTGTTGCTCTCACGATAGTGTCCCCCAAGGCAGGAACAGTCAGTATTCTGACCATTTTGTGTCTCAATGCAGGCTGTTGTTTTCAGATCACAGCTAGCGACTTCACAAATACTGCGACCTGGTTATAAAGTTACAGCAATTATAACTTTATTATTATATTATTACTTAGAATTAATATCTCTAGTTTCTTTCAGTAATTAGCTTTTATTAATAATATATATTCCCTTTTGAGGAATTCAGATTGTTTTATACGTTTCTCTGCTAAACACACAGAACAATATAATAGCCGTTAACTTACTGCTATAAGAGAACGTCTCGCCAGCCACCTTGTTCAGGATGAACTCATTTATTTCAGTGAGATTTATTGAGAGAGTATTAAACATGTTAGTAACTAGGGCAGTAACTACGGTTGTAAGTGCTCGACTTGTAGATGAAACCGCTCTGGAAATAAAAAGATTCTATTATACATCACTCACAACAGTCTCATATCTCCAACATTGTGTATCCCTCCCAGATCTCCTATACCGGGTATCCCTCCCAGATCTCCTACACGGGTATCCCTCCCAGATCTCCTACACCGGGTATCCCTCCCAGATCTCCTACACCGGGTATCTCTCCCAGATCTCCTACACGGGTATCCCTCCCAGATCTCCTACACCGGGTATCCCTCCCAGATCTCCTACGCCGGGTATCCCTCCCAGATCTCCTACGCTGGGTATCTCTCCCAGATCTCCTACACCGGGTATCCCTCCCAGATCTCCTACACCGGGTATCCCTCCCAGATCTCCTACACCGGGTATCTCTCCCAGATCTCCTACACGGGTATCCCTCCCAGATCTTCTACACTGGGTATCCCTCCCAGATCTCCTACACCGGGTATCTCTCCCAGATCTCCTACACGGGTATCCCTCCCAGATCTCCTACACCGGGTATCTCTCCCAGATCTCCTACACGGGTATCCCTCCCAGATCTCCTACACCGGGTATCCCTCCCAGATCTCCTACACCGGGTATCCCTCCCAAATCTCCTACACGGGTATCCCTCCCAGATCTCCTACACCGGGTATCCCTCCCAGATCTCCTACACCGGGTATCCCTCCCAGATCTCCTACGCTGGGTATCCCTCCCAGATCTCCTACGCGGGTATCCCTCCCAGATCTCCTACACCGGGTATCCCTCCCAGATCTCCTACACCGGGTATCTCTCTCAGATCTCCAACACCGGGTATCTCTCCCAGATCTCCTACACCGGGTATCCCTCCCAGATCTCCTACACCGGGTATCCCTCCCTGATCTCCTACACTGGGTATTCCTCCCAGATCTCCTACACCGGGTATCCCTCCCTGATCTCCTACACCGGGTATCCCTCCCAGATCTCCTACACCGGGTATCTCTCCCAGATTTCCTACGCCAGGTATCCCTCCCAGATCTCCTACACCGGGTTTCCCTCCCAGATCTCCTACGCCCGGTATCCCTCCCAGATCTCGTACGCCGGGTATCCCTCCCAGATCTCGTACGCCCGGTATCCCTCCCAGATCTCCTACGCCGGGTATCCCTCCCAGATCTGCTACGCCGGGGATCCCTCCCAGATCTCCTACGCCGGGTATCCCTCCCAGATCTCTTACGCCGGGTATCCCTCCCAGATCTCCTATGCTGGATATCCCTCCCAGATTTCCTACGCCAGGGATCCCTCCCAGATCTCCTACGCAGGGTAGCCCTCCCAGATCTCCTATGCCGGGGATCCCTCCATACTAACACATTCATCCTATTGCCACAGTGCCCTCTAAAACTAAACATGTAATATATTCCTTTTGGTATAATATATTTGTACTTACGTTATATTCTCAATAACAGTTTCAACGTAGGTGCCATTGTATTGTTGTCCCAGTGATTTTGTAAACTGGACGGGAAAAAAGAGTATTGTTAGTTTGTTGCACTGTGATATTTTGATGGTAACCATGGATTCTTACGTCAATAAAATTGAGCGTCAGTATGGGAGTGTGAGTGACAGGGTATCAGTATGACACGTTAGTAGTACTGAGAGTGTGAGTGACAGGTTACCGGTAGTGATGTCCCGAACGGTTCGCCGAACGGTTCGCCGCGGACTCATCATTGAGTAAACTTTGACCCTGTACCTCACAGTCAGCAGACACATTCCAGCCAATCAGCAGCAGACCCTCCCTCCCAGACCCTCCCACCTCCTGGACAGCATCCATTTTGAAGCTGCATTTTTAGTGAGCTGTCCAGGAGGTGGAAGGGTCTGGGAGGGAGGGTCTGCTGCTGATTGGCTGGAATGTGTCTGCTGACTGTGCGGTACAGGGTCAAAGTTTTCTCAATGATGAGTCCGTGGCGAACCGTTCGGCGAACCGTTCGGGACATCACTAGTTACCGGTAATGAGTGTGAGTGACAGGGTATCAGTATGAGAGTGTGAGTGACACGTTAGTAGTACTAAGAGTGTGAGTGACACATTAGTAGTACTGAGAGTGTGAGTGACAGGTTACCGGTAATGAGTGTGAGTGACACTTTTTTTTTAAGTTAAAATAAATCATGTGTTTTCCAATAAATCTACTCACAAAGTTTTGTATTTCCTGGTACAGTGCAGTGTATGCTTCAGACTCTGTATCTTGATCAAAGATTCTATCCTGGATTATGAGTTTTCCAAGCACGCTGCCCCCTGCAGGCAGAGAAATGAACATGTTGTAGTGTCCTAACACAGACCCACTCACACTCAGCCACCAAACAAGCCACAGCAGGGAACTGAACAAAGCTCACTCAGATAGGATGAACATCAGGAACAGATAAAACACACAACGTGGACTGATTCATGGAATATTACACGGAATAACATGTGAAATGATTCATGGAATATTACACGGAATAACATGTGAAATGATACGTGGAATATTACACGGAATAACATGTGAAATGATACGTGGAATATTACACGGAATAACATGTGAAATGATTCATGGAATATTACACGGAATAACGTGTGAAATGATACGTGGAAAACCACACAGAATAACATGTGAAATGATACGTGGAATATTACACGGAATAACACGTGAAATGATTCATGGAATATTACACGGAATAACATGTGAAATGATACGTGGAAAACCACACAGAATAACATGTGAAATGATACGTGGAATGTTACACAGAAAAACATGTGAAATGATACATGGAATATTACACAGAATAACATGTGAAATGATACGTGGAATATTACACGGAATAACATGTGAAATGATAAGTGGAATATTACACAGAATAACATGTGAAATGATATGTGGAATATTACACGGAATAACATGTGAAGTGATACATGAAATATTACACGTAATAATATGTGAAATGATACATGGAATATTACACGGAATAACATGTGAAATGATACGTGGAATATTACACGGAATAACATGTGAAATGATAACTGGGATATTACACGGAATAACATGTGAAATGATACGTGGAAAACCACACAAAATAACGTGTGAAATGATACGTGGAATAGTAAACAGAATAACATGTGAAATGATACGTGGAATATTACACGGAATAACATGTGAAATGATACATGGAATATTACACGGAATAACATATGAAATGATATGTGGAATATTACATGGAATAACATGTGAAATTATATGTGGAATATTACACGGAATAACATGTGAAATGATACGTGGAATATTACACGGAATAACATGTGAAATGATACGTCAAATATTGTGGGAAAAGTTAGTATGGCTGGGTCCCCCGTGGTCTGAACTCCACTCTCTGCAGCCACCATGTGACATACATGGTGGCCAAGGCCAGTAAGGTATTATCATGCATGAAAAAGGGCATTCATTCTCGGGACAAGAATATAATTTTGCCTCTTTATAAATCACTGGTAAGACCCCATATTGAATATGCTGTGCAATTTTGGGCACCTGTTCTAAAGAAGGATATTATGGCACTAGAAAAAGTGCAGAGGCGGGCTACAAAATTAATAAAAGGAATGGAACATATCGGCTATGAAGAAAGGTTAACAAATTTAAACCTATTTAGTTTAGAAAAACGTCGCCTGAGAGGGGATATGATAACATTATACAAATATATTCGGGGCCAATACAAACCATTGTGTGGAAATCTATTCACAAACCGGACTTTACATAGGACACGAGGCCATGCGTTTAGACTGGAAGAAAGAAGATTTCGTCTAAGGCAAAGGAAAGGTTTTTTTACTGTAAGAACAATCAGGATGTGGAATTCTCTGCCTGAAGAAGTGGTTTTATCAGAGTCCATACAGATGTTCAAACGGCTACTAGATGCATACTTGCAAGAACAGAATATTCAAGGATATAATCTTTCAATGTAGGGTAATAACTGCTTGATCCAAGGATAAAACTGACTGCCATTCTGGGGTCAAGAAGGAATTTTTTTCCTAGCTTGTTGCAAAATTGTGCTTCAAACTGGGTTTTTTTGCCTTCTTTTGGATCAACAGCAAAAAACAAATGTGAGGAAGGCTGAACTTGATGGAAGCAAGTCTCTTTTCAGCTATGTAACTATGTAACTATGTAACTATATAACTATGTATAATGTGATTTACAAGTGTATTAAATGTTGCAGCCACTATGTGACACGCTAACATACATGTGATATAACGCCTCCCAACATTACACAGGTACAAAGCAAGACAGAGGGATTAAAGTAGGGACTGTCCATCCAAAATAGGGACACTTGGGAGGTATGATAATGTGATATACTTGTGTATTAATTGCGTGGCATTCACATGTTACCGCTTGTTACCTGGGAAAGGCTTGGTGTCATTCTTACCTTCTTTACAGCTCTGGTCTTCATAAAAAAACCTAACGGGACACTGGCAGGCGATACTATCAAACAGTGGGACACACACAGCGTCACCTCCACAGCTGGTATCATTGCATTTATTGCTGACTGTGTGAGAAACAACAGAACATATTAAATGACAGCATCGGCCCGGCTCCCACAGCCCCCTGACAGCCCTGAGAGCTTCACGGTAACAATGAACTGAAAGATAAAATTATTATTACATCCACCACCATTGGGCTGCGTTGGCATTCACAGTCCGCAAAGAATTATAAGTCCATCTACGGGGATAACCACATGCTTTTAAAATAAAATCTGTCTTTATTCCATACATGAAATCACTAAAATACTTCCTCTACAATCTGTTTTTATTCCACAAACTGGCGACTAGATAGAACTGACAAGAAAATTCCACATTTCCAAACCAACTAACTGCAGTGGTAACAATACAAACTATTTATTATAATCATTATTATCTTATATTTGTGGTCTGCAAGGGCATCCTTGAGTTTTCATGTTTGAAAAGAGGTGAGAAGGAACACCTTGCAGAAGAAATACCAGGAGTCACTCAAATGAATGTCTCCAAGCTATCAGTCCCCTGCTCCCGTACTCTGGTCTCCCGTACTCTGGTCTCCCGTACTCTGGTCTCTTGTACTCTGGTCTCCCGTACTCTGGTCTCCTGTACTCTGGTCTCCCGTATTCTGTTCTCCCGTACTCTGGTCTCCTGTACTCTGGTCTCCCGTATTCTGGTCTCCCGTACTCTGGTCTCCCGTACTGTTCTCCCGTACTCTGGACTCCCGTATTCTGGTCTCCCGTACTCTGGTCTCCCGTACTCTGGTCTCCCGTACTCTGGACTCCCGTATTCTGGTCTCCCGTACTCTGGTCTCCCGTACTCTGTTCTCCCGTACTCTGGTCTCCCGTACTCTGTTCTCCCGTACTCTGTTCTCCCGTACTCTGGTCTCCCATACTCTGGACTCTGTTTATTGGTCCTCACAGTCACTAAAGGTCCGTAATACAATGTTACACTGCAGGAAATATAAACTGTTTCTTTATTGACCAGCCTTCACTCTGCAATGGGCACAGCATGGCATTGTCACCTAGAATTCAGGGAACTTATCACAGAGCTCCTTCCACCCCAGTGGCTACTGCAGTTATTGCAAATATTGGAGGATATTCTGTATTCTTATCTGTGCTAAATCAGTATTAATACATTTTTACCTGGTGGGTTAGTACTGGTTGAAGTGTCTTTGTTTGGAGTAACTTCGGTTGCTGGAGCGGTTGAGTTAATTGTTGAATCTGGGGTTGATGGAGCGGTCGAGTCTTCTGTAGTAATTGTTACTGATGGAGAAGTTGGGTTTTCTGTAGCAATTGTTACTGATGGAGCGGCTGAGTTTTCTGTAGTAACTGTTGATGATGGAGATGTTGGGTTTTCTGTAGTAACTGTTGATGATGGAGATGTTGGGTTTTCTGTAGTAACTGTTGATGATGGAGCGGTTGTGCTTTGTGGAGAAGCTGTGGAACCAAAAATTGTTACTTGAGACACACCATGAAGAAATCTTTGCAAATTGTGGACACTGCAATCTGTCAGTGTTATAGCGCTCGCGCTCATGCAAGTTATAAAACTTAATCCCTTAAGGACACAACTTCTGGAATAAAAGGGAATCATGACGGAATATTCCGTAAAGGGTTAAAAAAAGATCTCTAAGTAAAGGCGAGAGAGAGAGATTACTATTTACACAACACAGCTATCACTCTGCACATTAATCTCATTTATACATTTTTTTTATAACTCTGTCCCTTCCCTCCTGTAACTCTGTAAATAAGACTGTACAACACTTGCATGCATGGAGAGCCTTTACTGATATGTATACTTTATTAACTCACTGGATTCAGAACTTTCAAAATCCTATCCCGAGATTCTGAAATTGGATCCCCACAATCCATTCACCTGCTTTGCACTGGTTAATGTACTCTACTGGAAGGATAGTGACTTTACACTTTGTGTCCTGTACTCTCTCAGACTGTGTTTAATACTAGTGACACCTACTGGAAGGATAGTGACTTTACACTTTGTGTCCTGTACTCTCTCAGACTGTGTTTAATACTAGTGACACCTACTGGAAGGATAGTGACTTTACACTTTGTATCCTGTACTCTCTCAGACTGTGTTTAATACTAGTGACACCTACTGGAAGGATAGTGACTTTACACTTTGTATCCTGTACTCTCTCAGACTGTGTTTAATACTAGTGACACCTACTGGAAGGATAGTGACTTTACACTTTGTGTCCTGTACTCTCTCAGACTGTGTTTAATACTAGTGACACCTACTGGAAGGATAGTGACTTTACACTTTGTGTCCTGTACTCTCTCAGACTGTGTTTAATACTAGTGACACCTACTGGAAGGATAGTGACTTTACACTTTGTATCCTGTACTCTCTCAGACTGTGTTTAATACTAGTGACACCTGCTGGAAGGATAGTGACTTTACACTTTGTGTCCTGTACTCTCTCAGACTGTGTTTAATACTAGTGACACCTACTGGAAGGATAGTGACTTTACACTTTGTGTCCTGTACTCTCTCAGACTGTGTTTAATACTAGTGACACCTACTGGAAGGATAGTGACTTTACACTTTGTGTCCTGTACTCTCTCAGACTGTGTTTAATACTAGTGACACCTACTGGAAGGATAGTGACTTTACACTTTGTATCCTGTACTCTCTTAGACTGTATTTAATACTAGTGACACCTACTGGAAGGATAGTGACTTTACACTTTGTATCCTGTACTCTCTCAGACTGTGTTTAATACTAGTGACACCTACTGGAAGGATAGTGACTTTACACTTTGTGTCCTGTACTCTCTCAGACTGTGTTTAATACTAGTGACACCTACTGGAAGGACAGTGACTTTACACTTTGTGTCCTGTACTCTCTCAGACACTGTGTTTAATACTAGTGACACCTACTGGAAGGATAGTGACTTTACACATTGTGTCCTGTACTCTCTCAGACTGTGTTTAATACTAGTGACACCTACTGGAAGGATAGTGACTTTACACTTTGTATCCTCTACTCTCTCAGACTGTGTTTAATACTAGTGACACCTACTGGAAGGATAGTGACCTTACACTTTGTATCCTGTACTCTCTCAGACTGTGTTTAATACTAGTGACACCTACTGGAAGGATAGTGACTTTACACTTTGTGTCCTGTACTCTCTCAGACACTGTGTTTAATACTAGTGACACCTACTGGAAGGATAGTGACCTTACACTTTGTATCCTGTACTCTCTCAGACTGTGTTTAATACTAGTGACACCTACTGGAAGGATAGTGACTTTACACTTTGTATCCTGTACTCTCTCAGACACTGTGTTTAATACTAGTGACACCTACTGGAAGGATAGTGACTTTTGCTGACTTTGTGTCCTGTACCTCAGACACTGTGTTTAATACTAGTGACAATCTTACCGGAAGGATAGTGACTTTACACTTTGTATCCCTGTACTCTCTCAGACTGTGTTTAATACTAGTGACACCTACCGGAAGGATATAGTGACTTTACACTTTGTGTCCTGTACTCTCAGACTGTGTTTAATACTAGTGACACCTACTGGAAGGACAGTGACTTTACACTTTGTGTCCTGTACTCTCTCAGACACTGTGTTTAATACTAGTGACACCTACTGGAAGGATAGTGACTTTACACTTTGTGTCCTGTACTCTCTCAGACTGTGTTTAATACCAGTGACACCTACTGGAAGGATAGTGACTTTACACTTTGTATCCTGTACTCTCTCAGACTGTGTTTAATACTAGTGACACCTGCTGGAAGGATAGTGACTTTACACTTTGCATCCTGTACTCTCTCAGACTGTGTTTAATACTAGTGACACCTACTGGAAGGATAGTGACTTTACACTTTGTATCCTCTACTCTCTCAGACTGTGTTTAATACTAGTGACACCTACTGGAAGGATAGTGACTTTACACTTTGTGTCCTGTACTCTCTCAAACACTGTGTTTAATACTAGTGACATCTACTGGAAGGATAGTGACTTTACACTTTGTATCCTGTACTCTCTCAGACTGTGTTTAATACTGTACTCTCTCAAACACTGTGTTTAATACTAGTGACATCTACTGGAAGGATAGTGACTTTACACTTTGTATCCTGTACTCTCTCAGACTGTGTTTAATACTAGTGACACCTACTGGAAGGATACAGTGACTTTACACTTTGTAGTCCGTACCTCTCAGACACTGTGTTTACATTAGTGACACCTACTGGAAGGATAGTGACTTTTACACTTGTGTCCTGTACTTCTCAGACTGTAAGCTTTAATACTAGTGACACCTACTGGAAGGATAGTGACTTACACTTTGTGTCCTGTACTTCAGACTGTGTTAATACTAGTGACACCTACTGGAAGGATAGTGACTTTACACTTTGTGTCCTGTACTCTCTCAGACACTGTGTTTAATACTAGTGACACCTACTGGAAGGATAGTGACTTTACACTTTGTGTCCTGTACTCTCTCAGACACTGTTTAATACTAGTGACACCTACTGGAAGGATAGTGACTTTACACTTTGTATCCTGTACTCTCTCAGACTGTGTTTAATACTAGTGACACCTACTGGAAGGATAGTGACTTTACACTTTGTATCCTGTACTCTCTCAGACTGTGTTTAATACTAGTGACACCTACTGGAAGGATAGTGACTTTACACTTTGTGTCCTGTACTCTCTCAGACTGTGTTTAATACTAGTGACACCTACTGGAAGGATAGTGACTTTACACTTTGTATCCTGTACTCTCTCAGACACTGTGTTTAATACTAGTGACACCTGCTGGAAGGATAGTGACTTTACACTTTGTATCCTGTACTCTCTCAGACACTGTGTTTAATACTAGTGACACCTACTGGAAGGATAGTGACTTTACACTTTGTGTCCTGTACTCTCTCAGACTGTGTTTAATACTAGTGACACCTACTGGAAGGATAGTGACTTTACACTTTGTGTCCTGTACTCTCTCAGACTGTGTTTAATACTAGTGACACCTACTGGAAGGATAGTGACTTTACACTACTGGAAGGATAGTGACTTTACACTTTGTGTCCTCTACTCTCTCAGACTGTGTTTAATACTAGTGACACCTACTGGAAGGATAGTGACTTTACACTTTGTATCCTGTACTCTCTCAGACTGTGTTTAATACTAGTGACACCTACTGGAAGGATAGTGACCTTACACTTTGTATCCTGTACTCTCTCAGACTGTGTTTAATACTAGTGACACCTACTGGAAGGATAGTGACTTTACACTTTGTGTCCTGTACTCTCTCAGACACTGTGTTTAATACTAGTGACACCTACTGGAAGGATAGTGACTTTACACTTTGTGTCCTGTACTCTCTCAGACTGTGTTTAATACTAGTGACACCTACTGGAAGGATAGTGACTTTACACTTTGTATCCTCAACTCTCTCAGACTGTGTTTAATACTAGTGACACCTGCTGGTAGGATAGTGACTTTACACTTTGTGTCCTGTACTCTCTCAGACTGTGTTTAATACTAGTGACACCTACTGGAAGGATAGTGACCTTACACTTTGTATCCTCTACTCTCTCAGACTGTGTTTAATACTAGTGACACCTACTGGAAGGATAGTGACTTTACACTTTGTGTCCTGTACTCTCTCAGACTGTGTTTAATACTAGTGACACCTACTGGAAGGATAGTGACTTTACACTTTGTATCCTGTACTCTCTTAGACTGTATTTAATACTAGTGACACCTACTGGAAGGATAGTGACTTTACACTTTGTATCCTGTACTCTCTCAGACTGTGTTTAATACTAGTGACACCTACTGGAAGGATAGTGACTTTACACTTTGTGTCCTGTACTCTCTCAGACTGTGTTTAATACTAGTGACACCTACTGGAAGGACAGTGACTTTACACTTTGTGTCCTGTACTCTCTCAGACACTGTGTTTAATACTAGTGACACCTACTGGAAGGATAGTGACTTTACACTTTGTGTCCTGTACTCTCTCAGACTGTGTTTAATACTAGTGACACCTACTGGAAGGATAGTGACTTTACACTTTGTATCCTGTACTCTCTCAGACTGTGTTTAATACTAGTGACACCTACTGGAAGGATAGTGACTTTACACTTTGTATCCTGTACTCTCTCAGACTGTGTTTAATACTAGTGACACCTACTGGAAGGATAGTGACTTTACACTTTGTGTCCTGTACTCTCTCAGACACTGTGTTTAATACTAGTGACACCTACTGGAAGGATAGTGACTTTACACTTTGTATCCTGTACTCTCTCAGACTGTGTTTAATACTAGTGACACCTACTGGAAGGATAGTGACTTACACTTTGTATCCTGTACTCTCTCAGACTGTGTTTAATACTAGTGACACCTACTGGAAGGATAGTGACTTTACACTTTGTGTCCTGTACTCTCTCAGACACTGTGTTTAATACTAGTGACACCTACTGGAAGGATAGTGACTTTACACTTTGTATCCTGTACTCTCTCAGACTGTGTTTAATACTAGTGACACCTACTGGAAGGATAGTGACTTTACACTTTGTATCCTGTACTCTCTCAGACTGTGTTTAATACTAGTGACACCTACTGGAAGGATAGTGACTTTACACTTTGTATCCTGTACTCTCTCAGACTGTGTTTAATACTAGTGACACCTACTGGAAGGATAGTGACTTACACTTTGTATCCTGTACTCTCTCAGACTGTGTTTAATACTAGTGACACCTACTGGAAGGATAGTGACTTTACACTTTGTATCCTGTACTCTCTCAGACTGTGTTTAATACTAGTGACACCTACTGGAAGGATAGTGACTTTACACTTTGTATCCTGTACTCTCTCAGACTGTGTTTAATACTAGTGACACCTACTGGAAGGATAGTGACTTTACACTTTGTATCCTGTACTCTGTCAGACTGTGTTTAATACTAGTGACACCTACTGGACGGATAGTGACTTTACACTTTGTATCCTGTACTCTCTCAGACTGTGTTTAATACTAGTGACACCTACTGGAAGGATAGTGACTTTACACTTTGTGTCCTGTACTCTGTCAGACTGTGTTTAATACTAGTGACACCTACTGGAAGGATAGTGACTTTACACTTGGTATCCTGTACTCTCTCAGACTGTGTTTAATACTAGTGACACCTACTGGAAGGATAGTGACTTTACACTTTGTGTCCTGTACTCTCTCAGACTGTGTTTAATACTAGTGACACCTGCTGGAAGGATAGTGACTTTACACTTTGTGTCCTGTACTCTCTCAGACACTGTGTTTAATACTAGTGACACCTACTGGAAGGATAGTGACTTTACACTTTGTATCCTGTACTCTCTCAGACTGTGTTTAATACTAGTGACACCTACTGGAAGGATAGTGACTTTACACTTTGTGTCCTGTACTCTCTCAGACTGTGTTTAATACTAGTGACACCTACTGGAAGGATAGTGACTTTACACTTTGTTTCCTGTACTCTCTCAGACTGTGTTTAATACTAGTGACACCTACTGGAAGGATAGTGACTTTACACTTTGTTTCCTGTACTCTCTCAGACTGTGTTTAATACTAGTGACACCTACTGGAAGGATAGTGACTTTACACTTTGTATTCTTTAACTCTGTTATCATATCATAGATGTCCTCCATTGCAGTATGTTTTATATCATTGTGTGTTTTTATATTTGCTTTTCTTTTCTGTCTGTTGTATCTGTATTTATATAGGTAGTACATATTACACAGTTTGGCGCTCTCTGTGTTAGTTTCTGTCTCTGCACGCGCGCAATCTCTGCTAATAGAGCACGTCTTTTGGCAGTCTTATATAAATAAAATGTATATATTTATAATTTTATATATATATAACTCGTTCGATGAAACCAAAAGAAATTGATTATTGAGAATTTCAAAACCATTCCATGCAACATATCAGAAAAAGCACTTTACAAGTCCTGCATAGACAATATAATAACAGCGAAGGTTCTGAATCCCTGTTAGAATATCATGGGGAATAGAATCGAGCAGATCACAACTCCCATTACCTCAGGCACCCAGGAAGAGGAATGTTTAAACAGCAGCTTCAGGTTTTTATTGTCTGGGTAAATAAACATAGTCTAAGAATAGTGGGTGTTGTAATCCACAATTTCATATGAATTTGGCTTCAAAGCAATAACACTCACAGAGTTATTTACTGTGGCAAAACTAGCCACTGGAGACTATCAATGTATGAGTCTGTTTGTATTCTTTCTAAAGCTGTAGAGACAAGTGTATGATTGTAATTGCATTTCAGGCGAATGAGGGCATTCGTATGCTGGCGGTATGAAAACCCCAGCATTCAAACTGTAGTTTCACGAACAGTGAGTTTCAACACTGTTTGTGAAACGAATATCTTACCGAATGGACGAGGTCGTGTGGCGCCCATTAACCGATTGCAACATTGTTGCAATCGGTAATAAAGTGTGTTCCTAGGTGGCCATCGTTCGACTACCGACCACGCGGCGGTTGGCCATCTTGGTTCCTTTGTTAACCCAGCGGGGTTTGGTCGTCGAGCGCCTGGAACCAAAATCGGCTACTCGACGGCGCGAACCCCGCTGGACTTCCAGGCCGTTCAGGAGCCCCGGCCGTTCGGTAGGTTGTTTCCCTGATGTCAATCGGTACTTTGAGCAGAACTTGAATTTAATGTGTGTTTCGTGCGGCGTTCGGTTAGTTAGGCTGGGATCTGAGCGGTATTCTCACGAACTATGCGCTCATACCCCAGCTATCTACCAATCGTCCATTTGTTTAAATGAAGGGAATATTATGGGAGATATGTATTTTAATGTGAAATGTAAGTTCTGCTGCACGGAGGGATAATCCACTTAACGGTATATTCTCGTGGGAGTATCCCTCTCGTGCAGCAGTGCATGGTGGGAAAAATGCATGTATTGTTCAGTTCCCCATGTAGTCCCCTACTGTGCCACCCCTGGAATGTCAGTAGGGAAACCCCTTGCATGGGGAATCCCATAAATACTGTGCCTGTAATTAAAACCTCAGTTGACCTCCAAGTTGACCTCCAAGCAATAGTTCTTGGGAGGAAGGGATTGTAACTACGCTACCTGGATTTTACCTGCTTTGTTTCTGATTCTGTCTACCAGCGGAGAGACCGTGGATAATAGTACTACTCCGCTACATTTACTAAGGCAAGAATTATGTGAAATCCAACATAAATTCACTGCAAAGAGAGAGAATCTCCCACTGGCGCTGCTCTGAGCCAGACAGGACAATAATAATAGGAGTTAGAATTTTATCAGAATATATAACGGCTGTTTACAAATGACATAAAATTACCCACCATTTTTATCAGATCAGGGATTCTTTAAACTGAGAATGAGAGGGCTGCATTATTGTCTGTGTCTACCCTTTGTTACATTCTTTCTATCCCCCATTATTACATTCTGTCTATCCCCCATTATTACATTCTGTCTATCCTCCGTTGTTACATTCTGTTTATCCCTCACTTTTACATTCTGTTTATCCCGCATAGTTAAATTCTGTCTATCCCTCATTGTTACATTCCATCTATCCCCCGTTATTACATTCTGTCTATCCCTCATTGTTTAATTATGTCTATCCCCAGTTGTTACATTCTGCCTATCTCCTATTGTTACATTCTGTCTATCCCCCATTGTTACACTCTGCCTATCTCCCATTGTTACATTCTGTCTATCCCCCATTGTTACATTCTGTCTATCCCCCATTGTTACATTCTGCCTATCTCCCATTGTTACATTCTGTCTATCCCCCGTTGTTACATTCTGTCTATCCCGCATTGTTATATTCTGTCTATCCCCCGTTGTTACATTCTGCCTATCCCCTGTTTTTACATTCTCTCTATCCCCCATTGTTACATTCTGTCTATCCCCCTTTGTTACATTCTGTCTATCTCCCATTGTTGCATTCTGTCTATCATGCATTGTTACATTCTGTCTATCCCCCATTGTTACATTCTGTCTATGCCCCATTGTTACATTATATCTATCCCCCATTGTTACATTCATTCTATCCCTCATTGTTACATTCTGTCTATCCCCCATTGTTACATTCTGTCTATCCCACAATGTTATATTGTTTCTATACCTTATTGTTACATTCTGTCTATTCTCTATTGTTAGATTACTTCTATTCCCCACTGTTCCATTCTGTTTGCCCACCCAGTCATTATATACGCTGCTTCCACCATTGGTCCATTCTGTCTGTCTCCCCAGTCATTATCTACACTGTTTCCCCCATTGATCCATTCTGTCTCCCCCAGTTATTACCTACGCAGTTTCCCCCATTGTTCCGTTCTTTCTGTCCCCCCAGTCATTACCTACACTGTTTCCCCCATTGTTCCATCCTGTCTGTCCCCCCAGTCATTATATATGCTGTTTCCCCCATTGGTTCATTCTGTCTGTCCCCTTAGTCATTATATACGCTGTTTCCCCCATTGTTACGTTCTGTCTGTCCGCCCAGTCATTATATACGTTGTATCCCCCATTGTTACGTTCTGTCTGTCCGCCCAGTCATTATATACACTGTATCCCCCATTGATCCATTCTGTCTGTCTCCCCAGTCATTATCTACACTGTTTCCCCCAGTGATCCATTCTGTCTCCCCCAGTCATTACATACACTGTTTCCCCCATTGTTCCATTCTGTCTGTCCCCCCAGTCATTACATACACTGTTTCCCCCATTGTTCCATTCTGTCTGTCCCCTTAGTCATTATATACGCTGTTTCCCCCATTGTTACGTTCTGTCTGTCCGCCCAGTCATTATATACGTTGTATCCCCCATTGTTCCATTCTGTCTGTCCCCCCAGTCATTATATACACTGTATCCCCCATTGTTCCATTCTGTCTTTCCCCCAAATCATTATTTACAGTACGCAGTTTCCCCCATTGTTCTGTTCTTTCTGTCCCCCCAGTCATTATATACGCTGCTTCCCCTATTGTATCATTCTGTTTGTCCCCCCAGTCATTATATACCCTGCTTCCCCATTGTATCATTCTGTTTGTCCCCCCAGTCATTATATACAATATATCCCCCATTGTTCCATTCTGTTTGTCCCAGCAGTCATTATATACGCTGTATCCCCCATTGTTCCATACTGTCTTTCCCCCAAGTCATTTTATTTTCGTTATTTCCCCCATTGTTACATTCTGTCTGCCCCCAGTCATTATTTACTCTACGCAATTTCCCCCATTGTTCTGTTCTTTCTGTCCCCCCAGTCATTATATACGATGCTTCCCCCATTGTATCATTCTGTTTGTCCCCCCAGTCATTATATACCCTGCTTCCCCCATTGTTCCATTCTGTCTGTGGTTACAGAGATACATGTTGTGTTTAGCTCACAGTCCATTGTTGTTATTATTATTATCCGGTATTTACATAGCGACAACGTATTACGCAGCACTTTACAATATTATAAAAGTTGAAAATATTAACAATAAATTAGACAAAATTTTACAGGAGCAAAATCAGTTTCCTTTAGATAACTTACCTTCTTCTACCAGAAAGGCCAATGAGAGGACACAGAGGGCTCCGAGCAGGAGAAATCCCTTCATGATGATGGATCCTTGTTGAGATATTCCCGAGAAATGAGGATTTTCACAGATTGCGCACGCTTTAATCACTCTATGGGAGCAGAGTCCAGGCTCTGTCTGACGTCACTGCAATTAAACCAAGGTTGAATATTAATATCTCACTTAACCTGTGACAGAGACGCTCCTAGCTGGACTCAAGCTTTGAAAACCAGACTTTCTCCCAACTCCAGAGCAGATCCCTGGCACACCTAGTCCAGACACTGCTGGGGTCCACTCGATATTGAGTTAAATAGTGGATTGATCGTGTTCTATTGTAATGTGATATTAGTTCTGATAAGATCCAGACTTTGCCCACCAAACATAATTATTTTTATGGATCTAAGAGAGTAAATAACACAAATTGATCAGAATTGATCAGCTTCCTATAGAAAGGACTTGATGTAAAACACTAACATCTGTGTACGCTATAGCCGTATATTGCCTGTATACAATGCTTGCTCCCATGACATTCGATGTTTACACAATAAATAATTCCGTAATGTCACAGAGAATAAGACTAAATATATTATATAATATTATAAAGTAGTGGCTGGATTTATCCCTTAACAAGCTCAGGGCCCAGATTCCAGTGACACATAGGCCTTGCTTTTAATAGAAAACATTATCCTATTGTTACCCTAAGGTCCAGTGCCCTGTTCTAACCACGGGTTTAGATTGGCCCATTCTGTAGCTTCACTTCTGGTTCTCCTGTCTAGGTCTCATGGAGGCTTCTAGTGTCTTGGAGTGGGGCTTTTAGTGTCTTGGAGTGGGGCTTTTAGTGTCTTGGAGTGGGGCTTTTAGTGTCTGGGAGTGGGGCTTTTAGTGTCTGGGAGTGGGGCTTTTATTGTCTTGGAGTGGGGCTTTTAGTGTCTGGGAGTGGGGCTTTTAGTGTCTGGGAGTGGGGCTTTTATTGTCTTGGAGTGGGGCTTTTAGTGTCTTGGAGTGGGGCTTTTAGTGTTTTGGAGTGGGGCTTTTAGTGTCTGGGAGTGGGGCTTTTAGTGTGGGGCTGGGCTTTTAGTGTCTGGGAGTGGGGCTTTTAGTGTCTGGGAGTGGGGCTTTTAGTGTCTTGGAGTGGGGCTTTTAGTGTCTTGGAGTGGGGCTTTTAGTGTCTGGGAGTGGGGCTTTTAGTGTCTGGGAGTGGGGCTTTTAGTGTCTTGGAGTGGGGCTTTTAGTGTCTTGGAGTGGGGCTTTTAGTGTTTTGGAGTGGGGCTTTTAGTGTCTGGGAGTGGGGCTTTTAGTGTCTGGGAGTGGGGAGAGTGGGAGCTTTTAGTGTCTTGGAGTGGGGCTTTTAGTGTCTTGGAATGGGGCTTCTAATGCCTGGGAGTGGGGCTTCTAATGTCTGGGAGAGGGGCTTTTAGTGTCTGGGAGTGTGGTTTCTAATGTCTGGGTGTGAGGCTTCTAATAGAAACATAGAAACATAGAATGTGACGGCAGATAAGAACCATTCGGCCCATCTAGTCTGCCCAATTTTCTAAATACTTTCATTAGTCCCTGGCCTTATCTTATAGTTATCTTATAGGGATAGCCTTATGCCTATCCCACGCATGCTTAAACTCCTTTACTGTGTTAACCTCTACCACTTCAGCTGGAAGGCTATTCCATGCATCCACTACCCTCTCAGTAAAGTAATACTTCCTGATATTATTTTTAAACCTTTGTCCCTCTAATTTAAGACTATGTACTCTTGTTGTGGCAGTTTTTCTTCTTTTAAATATGGTCTCCTCCTTTACTGTGTAGATTCCCTTTATGTATTTAAATGTTTCTATCATATCCCCCCTGTCTCGTCTTTCCTCCAAGCTATACATGTTAAGATCCTTTAACCTTTCCTGGTAAGTTTTATCCCGCAATCCATGAACCAGTTTAGTAGCCCTTCTCTGAACTCTCTCTAAAATATCAATATCCTTCTGAAGATACAGTCTCCAGTACTGTGTACAATACTCCAAGTGAGGTCTCACCAGTGTTCTGTACAATGGCATGAGCACTTCCCTCTTTCTACTGCTCAGATCATCGCTCTGCCTCGCCATCACCATCTCGTTCTGAGGTCCCATCAATCTCTGTTTTCACAAGTTCATATGTCCCACTTAAAACAACATCATATCTGCCTGGAGTTTCCCCAGTGTCACCCTACACAATGCCACCACTATCATCTGCCACCATGTCATCTACAGCAGACAACACTGAGCCAAGTGTCCCTTTCACAGCATCGCAGACATCAAGCCAGATAACCTCACACTCTTCAGCAGTTTCTAGTTATTCAGTAACTGGGATTGTCCTCCACACAATTCAGCCATCTAGTACCGTCACTGATACAGCAAGCTATGATGGCACGGGCTCTTATGAAACTAGTTCAACTCTCTCATCAACAGTCCAGTTACCATCTGGAACCTTGGAACCTCTGGATACATCTACATCAACAGTCTTTTTTAAAGAGAACACTACAAACCCATTTTCTCAGTCTCCAGCTCAATATACAGATTATGTTCCAGCTGCCACAACTTCTGAGAGCCTGTTAATACCTTCTCTCCATTCTAGCACAAAACCATCACCTCAGCAGAATGATAACACCTCATTGTCAGTCACCATTAGCCTGACTACAGAGGATGCCAGCAGGCAGACTATGAGTGGCTGGACAACCGAAATGAACCCACAAACATTAACGCCATGGGTGGGTTTAGAGTGGAGTATGCCAACCACTGCCAGAAGCCGAAAGGCAGTTACTCCAGTGACAGATTCTCCTGCTACTGTGAATGGGAAATATTCTGTCACCCCCGCACCTCAGCTGCCCACTTCTACTCTTTCCGGCACTACCACTACAGTACCAGGTGCTCCACCGCTGAATTAATTCTAGATTGTTTTGAGTGGGTGGTCACGTTTGGCTTGTTTCACTAATATCACTTGTTTTTACAGTCAGTCCATGTTCATCAAACCCATGTCAAAATGGAGGCCGTTGCACAGAGAATAGGATTCAGAGCACCTTCCAGTGTGAGTGTCCACCAGCCTGGCAAGGAACCCACTGCCATCGAGGTAGGTTGGTGTTCAATCATGATACTGGGTCTGATTTACTTTATATAAGGTGGGTATGTGTAACGTGGCTGCTTTAAGGCACTTGCTAAACAGAAAGACTTGTAATAATTTTCTTGCTGTGTTTTAAGGATGTGATTGTAGTTTGCATGTGAGAGGTATGGGATCATATCAGAACATGCCTATCAGGAACCCTACCCAAACATATTGTACATCCAACGCTTACATGTACATTCAGCATCACATATATTAACAAAGAGTCCTAAGTTGTCTTGTGAACCTTAACATGAAGTTATGCACCATTTATATATCTGTCTGTTCATGGGATCCTTGGTGTACATTGAATGAGAATATCTGTGTGATGGTTGGAGATGGTGTGCATGAGGTAAATATGTGTCACTTATTGGAGATGCTATTGTCAGTAATGTGGCAAAAGTAACCTCGGCACAGGGTTTTGGAGGAACCTGCTTACCAGTCTTCTGCCCCAGGACTATGGCCCCTGTCATGAACCCTGGTTAAAAACACTGTTCGTGCCTTTTGGACTTATACAGTCCGGTATACGGAGCTTACTGAACGGACCAGGAGTTTGTGTTCGTATACCGAACAAATTAATGAACGGTCGGACCACCTGCAAATAGTGTGTGCAGCCCATTAACCTCCCTGATACACATGTAACCGCAACTTAATTGGTGATCGGCTGGAGGGTTGCCATTCGGCATGCGAACACGTGGCCGCGGCCATCTTTAGCCGCGAACACATACAGCAGTGTTTGGTCGTCGAATGCATGGAACTATAATCGGACACTCGACTGCACGAACACCGCTGGGACTTCGTATGGGAAAAGCGGCGTTGGTGGGAGCAAGCTCCCGAATGAGTGACATAAACTGAGTCTACCCCCGAACCACTACGTTCGGTATTTTGGACATTATTTCGTATTCCCGAAATAGGCCGACAAAACTTTGGTCTTCATTAAATTCCTGAGCCCCTGTACCGATCTGGGTGACTTTTGGATATGTTGGTCACCCATATCCCTGGCTATTAGGGGATGTAACTTTTACAGGGTTTCCATTGGTTTTGGGGGTACTTTTGAGGTGTTGGAAAAAATTTTGTTTTTTTGTGCCTGGAGATAATTGACTTAGTATCTGACTCAATTATCTCCCAGGCATAGGGGAAGGATTGCATTGCTATGTGTGGGAGTGTCCTGAACTTGGGGGCCAATGTCATTGGTTTGTATAATTTTGTTGCAGTCTACTTTCAGGTCCAGGGGGTTGCATGGGGATTGACATAAAAGTCCAGTTGTGGCTACCAATAAATGAGTTCCAGTTTACCCTCAACACAGAGCCTTGTCTTGTGCTTGTAGGGGAAATCCATACCAGCTATAATCCCTGCTCTTGGGATTGTTCTTTGGATTGTTATAATCACTAGCTGTACTCTTTTGGAGGAGAGGTCTTCCCACTGGGAGCTGGATCCAGGTGTTGGTCCAGGGTGGTAAGGGACGTCGAGAACCCAGCCAAGCTAAGGGGCTACAGTTCTAATGGTGTCCGGTGGAGTGCTGGAAGTATTTGGAGATAATAGGAAGCAGCGATTTGCGGAGGCACCCGGTTAGGTACATGGTAGGTGAGTTGATCTATATGGATTTTACAGGTGAGGTAAGTTGATCTATATGGATGATGTACATGTGAGGTAAGTGGATGTATGTGGATGTTACATGTGAGGTAAGTGGATGTATGTGGATGTTACATGTGAGGTAAGTGGATGTATGTGGATGTTACATGTGAGGTAAGTGGATGTATGTGGATGTTACATGTGAGGTAAGTGGATGTATGTGGATGTTACATGTGAGGTGAGTTGATCTATATGGATGATGTACATGTGAGGTAAGTGGATGTATGTGGATGTTACATGTGAGGTAAGTTGATGAGTTATCTATTGGGATCTGTATGGAGAATATAGCAGTTTGTGTTAATAGCAGTTGTTATAATGTTCTTATTCTCGTTACCCACCAGACGTGGACGAATGTCTCTCAGATCCGTGTCCGCCACAGACCACTTGCTCCAACATTAAGGGCTCCTTCAGCTGCCGCTGTCCCCTGGGGTATATTCTGCAGAAAGGAACAGGGTGCATTCTGGGTAAGTTGAAGAATATAAGCACATTTCTAGAAGTGAAGGAGGTAATTTCGAAGCCTTAATTTGACCCCAAACTCAAATTCTCTTAAAAAAAACTAATCGTAGATGGAATGACATATTAATATATAATTTCCAAGTTTGTCCAGACTCAGCCTGTTTTTATCAGAACTGAATACCTTCCTGGGACTGCCTCCGGTATTTAACTAACAGAATACTTTACCATTTCAGTCAGGACGTTTCTTGGGCAAATTAATGTACCACACATCGTTCGGAATGGAAGCGGGCGTAAATATGCCAATTTACATGAAATTGAGGAGGCAATAGTGAGCATAGTAAGTATGGAAGGCACCATGCCATTATACCACCATCATATACTGCACCATTATATTGCCATTACTTACATACAGCGCCAATATACCATCACGTACATACAGCGCCAATATATCGCCATGTATGGCGTGTTACTCATTGAGTGCAGGACATTGTTACTCATTGAGTGGAGCACAACGTTACTCATTGAGTGGAGGGCAGCGTTACTCATTGAGTGGATGATAGTGTTATTCATTGAGTGGAGGGTAGATCTAACTCCTGTTCTTCTTTTGTTCTGCAGCTGAGTTCGTCCTTTGCCTCGATAAATGGCTATTACCGATCAATGGTGACAAACAGCAGGTAATGGGGGGGGTCAGTGCTTGTGGGAAGGGAGCAGTGAATGCGATAAACGAGCAGGTTCCCTCATTACATCCTAATTAACTGGCGTAATTAGGGGCTGGTTGCATTGAAAAAGACATAGAAACAGAATGTGACGGCAGATAAGAACCATTCGGCCCATCTAGTCTGCCCAATTTTCTAAATACTTTCATTAGTCCCTGGCCTTATCTTATAGTTAGGATAGCCTTATGCCTATCCCACGCATGCTTAAACTCCTTTACTGTGTTAACCTCTACCACTTCAGCTGGAAGGCTATTCCATGCATCCACTACCCTCTCAGTAAAGTAATACTTCCTGATATTTTTAAACCTTTGTCCCTCTAATTTAAGACCTGTCCTCTTGTTGTGATAGTTTTTCTTCTTTTAAATATAGTCTCCTCCTTTACTGTGTTGATTCCCTTTATGTATTTAAATGTTTCTATCATATCCCCCCTGTCTCGTCTTTCCTCCAAGCTATACATGTTAAGATCCTTTAACCTTTCCTGGTAAGTTTTATCCCGCAATCCATGAACCAGTTTAGTAGCCCTTCTCTGAACCCTCTCTAAGATATCAATATCCTTCTGAAGATACGGTCTCCAGTACTGTGTACAATACTCCAAGTGAGGTCTCACCAGTGTTCTGTACAATGGCATGAGCACTTCCCTCTTTCTACTGCTAATACCTCTCCTATACAACCAAGCATTCTGCTAGCATTTCCTGCTGCTCTATTACATTGTCTGCCTACCTTTAAGTCATCAGAAATAATCACCCCTAAATCCCTTTCCTCATATGTTGAGGTTAGAACTCTATCAAATATTCTGTACTCTGCCCTTGGGTTTTTACGTCCAAGATGCATTATCTTGCACTTATCCACATTAAATGTCAGTTGCCACAATTCTGACCATTTTTCTAGTTTACCTAAATCATTTGTCATTTGGCTTATCCCTCCTGGAACATCAACCCTGTTACATATCTTAGTATCATCAGCAAAAAGACATACCTTACCATCAAGACCTTCTGCAATATCACTAATAAAAATATTAAAGAGAATGGGTCCAAGTACAGATCCCTGAGGTACCCCACTGGTGACAAGTCCAAGCTTCGAATATATTCCATTAACTACAACCCTCTGTTGCCTGTCACTCAGCCACTGCCTTACCCATTCAACAATATTGGAATCCAAACTTAAAGATTGCAGTTTATTGATAAGCCTTCTATGTGCAACAGTGTCAAAAGCCTTACTGAAATCTAGGTAAGCAATGTCTACTGCACCACCCTGATCTATAATTTTAGTTACCCAATCAAAAAAATCAATAAGATTAGTTTGGCATGATCTCCCTGAAGTAAACCCATGTTGTCTCTGATCTTGAAATCCATGTGTTTTTAGATGTTCAACAATCCTATCCTTTAACATGGTTTCCATCACTTTCCCCACTACTGAAGTAAGGCTTACTGGCCTATAGTTGCCCGACTCCTCCCTATTACCTTTCTTGTAAATGGGCACAACATTCGCTAACTTCCAATCTTCTGGGACTACTCCTGTTAACAATGATTGGTTAAATAAATCTGTTAATGGTTTTGCTAGTACACCACTAAGCTCTTTTAATAGCTTTGGGTGTATTCCATCAGGTCCCATTGACTTATTTGTCTTTACTTTTGACAGTTGAAATAGAACCTCTTCCTCTGTAAACTCACGTGTAATAAATGACTCATTTATCCTTTTTCTCAACTGAGGTCCCTTTCCTTCATTTTATTCTGTAAATGTCTGGGAGTGGGGCTTTTAGTGTCTTGGAATGGGGCTTTTAGTGTCTGGGAGTGGGGCTTTTAGTGTCTTGGAATGGGGCTTCTAATGCCTGGGAGTGGGGCTTCTAATGTCTGGGAGTGGGGCTTTTAGTGTCTGGGAGTGGGGCTTTTAGTGTCTGGGAGTGGGGCTTTTAACGTCTGGGAGTGGGGCTTCTAATGTCTGGGAGTGGGGCTTCTAATGTCTGGGAGTGGGGCTTCTAATGTCTGGGAGTGAGGCTTCTAGTGTCTTGGAGTGGTGCTTTTAGTGTCTTAGAGTGGGGCTTCCAATGTCTTGGAGTGGGGCTTTTAGTGTCTGGGAGTGTGGCTTCTAATATCTGGGAGTGGGGCTTTTAGTGTCTGGAAGTGGGGCTTTTAATGCCTGGGAGTGGGGCTTCCAATATCTGGGAGTGAGGCTTCTAATGTCTGGGAGTGGGGATTTTAGTGTCTTGGAATGGGGCTTTTAATGCCTTGGATTGAGGCTTCTAAGATCTGGGAGTGAGGCTTCTAATGTCTGGGAGTGAGGCTTCTAATATTTCGGAGTGGGGCTTCTAATGTCTGGGAGTGAGGCTTCTAATATCTCGGAGTGGGGCTTCTAACGTCTGGGAGTGAGGCTTCTAATATCTCGGAGTGGGGCTTCTAATGTCTGGGAGTGAGGCTTCTAATGTCTGGGAGTGGGGCTTCTAATGTCTGGGAGTGGTGCTTCTAGTGTCTTGGAGTAAGGCTTTTAGTGTCTGGGAGTGGGGCTTTTAGTGTCTTAGAGTGGGGCTTCTAATATCTCGGAGTGGGGCTTCTAATTTCTGGGAGTGGGGCTTCTAATGTCTGGGAGTGGGGCTTCTAATGTCTGGGAGTGAGGCTTCTAGTGTCTTGGAGTAAGGCTTTTAGTGTCTGGGAGTGGAGCTTTTAGTGTCTTAGAGTGGGGCTTCTAATGTCTTGGAATGGGGCTTTTAGTCTCTGGGAGTGTGGCTTCTAATGTCTGGGAGTGGGGCTTTTTTTGTCTGGGAGTGGGGCTTCTAGTGATAAAGGGCCCAGACTTGTATCCTCCAAGTATGAAGATCTGGGATGTCATCTCTGGAGATCACTTCTGGTTACTGTAGATAATACACATTCCATCCTCGAGGCAGACCTGGTAGGATGCATTGATACTGCGTGTGTCTATTCACTAAACTGTGATTTGAAGAATATAGGCCGCTTTAGCAGACTTCATTCCCTTGTGTTTGGTTGTCCGAACCCCCTTGTTCGTCTCCCGAATGGATAGTGTGTGGTCCCCCTTTTTATACGCCCTCCCCGAACATCGACCTCCCCAGGCTGTTAACCACAAATTAGCACCTTAAAACATTAACGCGAGTGCTTTCCCTGGATGGCCACCAGTGCATGTCGGTCATTTTGTCTCCCAAACACAGGCAGCGGTACATGGTCATCGAATGCCTGGAACTATTTTTGGCCATGCGAGTCCACGAACCTGGGCGTAGTTCGTACCGCTGCCTGTTCTACTTTCCGACCACCCTGACAAACGATGTTCGGGAGATATGAACTACCGACTGGGGGGAGCATTCACTACCTAAAAGCCAGGGGAAGCATTCGTCGATGTTCGCACAGGAACCCCCGAAACCTGACCAACTGCCACTCTCATTCTAATGGAACTGTTTTGGGCTATTGACTCGTGGCCGGTCGGTCAGAATGTTACCCGAATGGCAATTCCGTTCTAACAAGCAGATCTGAGTGCTATTTGGATATGTTGGGCACTTAGATTAGAGCTATTCGGGGATATACAAATTGTGGGGTTCCTATGAACTATGACTATGTTTTGGGGTATTTTGTATTCATGTTGTATATTTTCCTGTACCTGAGAGATAATTGAGTTACTCAGTTTTGAGTCAATTATCTCTCAGACACAGGGACGCCTCGGGGGGGGCTTGTGTATGTTTTGTATGGAGACCCCATGCTGGGGGTCTGTACATAAAAGGCTGTGTTAGAGCAAAATAAATCAGTTGTACTCCCAGAACAGAGTGTTGTCCAGTTAGTGGGGAGGGATAGAGCTATTCACTTCACCGTACCTTGTTCCAGAGTTCCAGTCTTCATGGAGAAAAAGACCTTGTCAGGACTAGTGTTCCGCTACAGCCACAATAATCAAGTTCAATTTATTCTTCAGTAATTTGAACTATTTCTGGGTTGAACGTGTGTGGGAGAATTTACAGAGACTCATGCTGAACATTAACCGGGATATTTACTAAAGTGAGAATTCAATGTGAATTTCAAACTGAAGGTCAGACTCGCTGAACCCAGAATTTAAAACTTTTCCTTTAGGGGGGCAGAGCTAGTGCGAGAAGCAGATGGACGCACAGTCCCTGAGCTCCAGGTCTGAATGATCGAAAATATATAATTGACCAAATATTTACATACTTACAGTCCCAACTCGGGTAGCACCTTATCCTGGATCACGATGGGTCGAAAGACCAAAAAGCAAAAAATCAGACAAACTGCTCCAGGGAAGAGTGTAACGGATCACCTGGCACCCCGACTGGGTACCTCCGTTGAAGGATGCTCCTAGCGCTTCCTGAGGGCTCCAAGCACTCCAACCGACACCATAACCACCGTAGACCCCTCCAGAGAGCAAGACAGGAACAAGCTCTTACAAGAGCTTAGCAGTGATTTAGTCGGAAGAAGCTGACCTCTCGGCGAAACGCGTTATCTGATTGGCGGCGTGATGTCATCATGTACGCCACGCCTCCCGGAAGTATCCTGTGGACTTTGCTGATCGTGATGGTGCACGGACTGATTATTTTAGCGGGCGGATGCACGAACCCACAAAAGGACAGTCTTTTACAGGGATCCGGAATATGTGAATGAATGCTTTGTTTTTAAATTGTGGAAATAAATAGTTTTACTGTATTGGCTGCAGTGGATCTTTCTGCATTTGGAGTTGTCAGAAGTAGAGCAGGCTCATCTGCTCTCTGCTTGTGAGTGAAATTTTTACACACACGTATTATTTTAAATAGCAATTCTTCACTATATATGTTTTGTATTGTATTTCTTTTTATGTAACACCATTTGAAACCAAGGGTTACTTCAAGCATATGATTTTAGGAAGTGTACCATATTTGGTCTTTTAATACACTAAGTCACTTTACAATCTTGGTATTAAGAATTTTTCATACTGCACTGATAAAGAGTGTTATAAGTGTTTGGATGTAGCACTTGTATTTTT